AGGGCATGTTACGGGTTTGGTCGCCTAGGGAGCCACACTTGGCGGGCCCCAAGCGGCGGCCCTTTTCTGCTGTGGAATCTTCTCCCCCCTGAGGTGAGGTTGGCCTTGTCATGGTTGAGCTTCCGGAGGTCCCTTAAGACTTGGTTATGCCAGCAGGCCTGGGGACCCCAGGGGACGGGGGAATGAGTGAGGGGGCTCCCTTATTTTTAACATCCTTTCATTCTCTGTTTTATTTTGCTTTTTATATTTTTAATGTATTTATTGACTGTTTATAGCTTTGTTGTACACCACCCAGAGTCGCCTGTGGTGAGATGGACGGCTCTATAAATTGGTTAAATAAATAAATAAATAAATAAATAAATAAATAAATAATAAAGCCCTCCCCTTCTGATGTGCAGTCTATGCTTGGAACAGGCTGGACTATGCGCAGGGCAAATTGACGGGTGCCCTTTTCTCCCTCCAGTTTCTCAATTTCACACGTCAGCTCTTTGAAGCAGAACGCGGCGTTGGTCTTCAGTCTGTGTATCCTTCATGTTATCATTTGTATGGCAGTAATGAGTGGTAAATGCAAACATGGCCATACACACGCAGCCAGAAGCGGTGGAAACAAAATGAACGGCGTCTGCCTTGCGTGATTGGCCGCTTGTAAGATTTGCGGAGCTTCAGCGGCGATTTCCAAGGAACATGGGGTTTATTTAGTTCAGCGTTTTCATCCCACAGAAGCTCTCCAACATGCTAGGAAGACAGAAACACCCTTCTCTGGTTTGCTTCTTGGCCCCAGGTACACTGTGCCTGAACAAGCAGGTTCTGTTCCACCACCTGCCTTAATAAGGCGATGATTTTCCTTAGCCCTCCCAACGCATTGGCTAAGCAAGTAACCTGTTTTGTGGCCAAGAAGACCTCCTCTATGTTAATGAATTCACATTTGGTGAAAGTATATTTCCTTTTTCTCCAGCCTGAACCACCCCCACCCCGCCCCTCTTGAGTGTGGGAAATTGCAAGTGGTGTAAAACAGGAAAAAAAAGCATTTAACTTGGCATATAGGGCAAAGGCGAGTTCCAAAGTGAAGATTCATTTACTGTAGTTGGTTTGCGTAAGGTATCCACCACCACCTAGTGGAAAAAACAGTTCAGCTCTGTGTTTCTCTGTAGAAAAGCGTGGAGCAATTTCCTGTCTCTCCCCCCTGCCTCCCATCTTCGGTGTTTCTTACTAGGGAGAAAAGTGGGGTGGGGGAAGGTGAAATCTGTAAATCTGTTCCACCCCTTACTTTATTCCTCATGCTTGAACTCGAGTGGAATTCTGTCTCTTTGTAGACATTTAGTATTTTACACATACCTCATGTGATTTGGCTTGGTTAAGGAGAAATTAGCCAGTTCTTCTTAAAGCAGGGGGATCTACTTTTCCTGTGGGTTAGACATCATGCTTGGTCTTCGGAATGCCATGATAGGGGTTACACTCCCCAAAATAGCGGATGATGCTAAGACAAAAACTAAATTCAATTTTATTTCATGTTTTATTTCATTTCATTAGAAGATAGCTAAGAGGCTTCTTCACCAGATACTTTTCTTCTATTACATTAAAAATGACAATTTGATAACAACTTTGGATGTATCTGGGGGCTGTACCCAAAGCTTTCACGAGTTGCAACCATCAGTACCTTCCCACCCCCGTCTCAGGTTGCCTTTCTCTGTCTGACAGCCGAACACCAATGAATCTGATTTGCTCAGGATGCTAGACTCACCTATAATCGATATGGGTAATTTGCAATTCAGCGTTTATTTTATTTATTTTTCAGATTTATACATGCTGCCCATCTCAATATACAAGTGAGTCTAGGTGGTGTTACAGATAAAAAAACCTATAAAATCCTAGAAAAATATATAGGTTAAAAAGCTACAAAAGGTTAAAATTAAGCTAAAAAGCTAAGACTACAATGCAAACTAAAAAGGCAGAGAGAATATCTTCAGGTACCAGCCCCCGTAGTGCTGTGCATCTACGTTGGGTCCCCATGCAAGTTGGCAGAGCTTTAACCTTACAGAAACCCAACTGTCATCTCAGCATGTTGAGTGACCCAACCCATCACCTAATGGGGTTTATGTTAGACATCACATGTTATGTGAACATGGGAATAGTTAACTCACTTTTATAACAATAAGCATGTGGTGCAAACCCAGTTTTATGTCTGGGAGTGTCTTTGGCAAAGTGGGCATGATGTAGCTTGGTGTTTCTCAACCGTGACGGCTTGAAGATGTGTGGACTTCAACTCCCAGAATTCCTCAGCCAGTGCGGGGTTGAGAAACACTGCTCTAGGACAAGGGTTCAAGACCCCTTGATACCATGAGGGGGGAGATTTTCTTTTTTTTCTGCCAAGGAGCCCAGATCATAGAAGGTGGGCACCCAGAGACTTTAAAATATCCCACCCACCAATAAGGTAGAAATGGGGACACACTGGTCCCTCTTTTTCCTGCTGAAAAAGTAAACAGGGCTCCCTGGGGCTTAACAGCTGATGGGAGGCTGATGGGATGCTTGGAACTGCATCAACGGGAGACAAGCCTCACCCACCACCTTAGTCACCTCCCGACTGGATTACTGCAATGTACTCTACATGGGGCTACCCTTGAAGACCACCTGGAAGCTACAATTGGACCCAAATGCAGTGGCATGGGTAATTATGGGCATTTCTTGCTATGCCAGCATGAGACCGTACTCTGTGAGCTGCACTGGCTCCCACTTTTACCTTCTAGGTGTAATTCAAACTGCTGGTTATCATCTTTAAAGCCCTATATGCATAGGACCAAGTTACTTGGGGGATTACCTTCTTGCCAGGGTGTCTGCCTGCCCCACATGCTCTGAGAAGGAGGGAGCATTCTGGGTCCCTTTATTATTTTATTTTAATAAATAAATATAATGTATTATTAAATTTATATGCCGCCCATCTCCCCTTCCTTGAAACAATGGCATTTTGTAGGACCCAGGAGGTGTGCCTTCTTGGTGGTGGCCTCCGTTTTATGGAATGACCTTCCTCCTGACATACGGCTGACCTTAATCCTGCTGGCCTTTAGAAAGGCCATCAAAATCTGGCTTTTCCCCCAGAACTTTGGGGAAATGTTGGTGCAATTGGATGACAGTGTTCTTGCTCTTTGGGATTGTTGCTTTTGTTTCGATTCTTCCATGATCGTTTGGAGGGTTTTGTATTGTGGTTTTGTATTCTCTTCAACAGGTTTTGCTGGATGTTTTTTGTACGCTGCTCAAGGTCACCTTGGTTGAACTGGGCGGCCATATAAATGGTTTAAGTAAATAAATAACCCGGAGGGCTCCTTGGGGAGGATTCCCATAGCGCACGAGTGAATGGGTGTTGCGGAGCTCTCCAGTTCCAGAGAAATGCAAATTCAGGACTGTGCTCCTATTTCATTACACACAGTACACACCTTATTTCCTCAGAAAGGAATTCAGCCCTTCCATCTTCGGCAAGCACCTTACTTCTAATGAAACGAGATCACAAATTAGCAGAGGAGAAAACACCCAGTTGCAACAGCCTGGTTGGGATGGCAATGGCAGGGCCCGATCCTATCAGATACGGATGATCCTGTGTTTTTCAACCTTGGCAACTTTCAGATGGGTGGACTTCAGTTCCCTACACTGGGCAGAGGCTGGACTAGAATCTAGATGATCTCCAAAGTGACTTCCAACTCTTACATTTTGGGATCCTATGACACAAATCCCTTTGCATCCACCTATTCACTAGTGAGTTTTCAATTGCAGCCCTTAATACAGTGTTTCTCAACCGCAGCAACT